TGTTCCTGGGGGAAAAAAGTGACTATCAAGTTTGGGAAATGCTGTACAGCAGAGTCTGGTCTCAAAGATTCTTGATGCATAAGGGCATTTATAGGCTCTAAGAATTCAGAAGTAAAAACCTGGATGATTTCTCAAACGTTTAGTAGGGAGCCATTTTTCTGGTGTCCTGGATTGTGCTCCCCGATGTAGACATTGAGATGGAGCTCCGGGGTGCCAGTGGAAATGTCCTACCTCAGTCACCAGATGAGGGAGACCAAGAACGCAGTTCTCTGCAGCTGAGGCCTGCCCTGAAGGAGCTGAGAACTGGAGAGAGTCTGATGACCGCTGTCTGCCCTCCACAACTTCCTGTAGCCCAGACACAAGTCCTTCCTTGAAGAGAGCCTATCTCCATGTTGATCACATTTAGTACACCGATTTCCATCCTGCATAATACACTTTAGGAAATGATGCTTTAAACTTCTGAGAGCAAACAAGTTATCTCTCAAGCCAAATATTAATTAAACTGCCAGAGATAGAACACTGAAGGATACAATTCTTGCTTTCACAAGTAACTTTTCTTTCATTCTTCTGTGGCTGCCCCTGGTTGTATGATCCTGCTCGTAGAATATAAGTTAAGGAATATATTTCTTTGGCATAGTGTTTACATAGCATCATAGAAGTAGACTGTTAATACTTTGATAACAATATTCTCTTTTCTCCTAATGCCTCCTTTAGATAAAACCTTACATGTTTAACATCATGAAACCTCCTTGCTCCTCAGTACCTTTCAGTTCAAGATAAATCACTATGGTCACAGTTCAGTATAATTAAAGAAGTCCTAGAATCAATAACAAAGGGACTTACCCGGATGGGAGTTACCAATACTAATGACCTGTAAAAAATAAGTGAATTCAACTCTCCTTTCTCTATGAAAATTGGTTGACTCAATATATGTGAAAAGATTTTGCAAATTGCAATACAATCTAAAATGCAGGGGATTTGCTTGTTAATTATCATCCTCATTAAACCTGGCAATATTATTACATAAACAATGGAATACAATCACTCAGAAAGATATAGCAGGGTTCAGCCTTCATTATTTATACATTTGTTCAATCAACGATTTTTTTTTAGCATCTATGATGGATCAGGCAATGTTTTTGGTGTTCATATCGAAGGATGAGTGCATTATTGCAGCAAAAGAGGCATCAGCAGTAAAAGCTTTAATAAGATGTGTATGTAATCTGTTGTTGGGAGACTTGTGACTTCAGGCACAGCCACCTATTAATTAAAGCTGATTATTAGTATTACAAATCTGTGCCAGAGTACAAGCAAGTGAAGAATAATTCCCCGTTGTTAAATATTTACCATTTGGGTCCTGCACTCTGGTCTCTATCAGGCACAAGCAGCGGCTCCTTTGAAAACCACTTGACAGCGAATTCACCAAGTGTGCCTCCCCTCAAAGTAACTGAAGACCAAAAACACATGATATATTCTAGAATTGTGTTATCAAGACAATAAAAGTGGACTACAAGAGAGCCCTGCTTGATCTCAGTGAGAAAGTGTTTTCCTCAGTTTTTGCAGCAGTATCAGTAGAAGGAACTGGGGAGCGGATGGCAGAAAAAGAAAGGAAGGCGGGTTAATAGTCTTTTATTTAAAATTAGAGCGCTGTTAAAAACTTCCCAGGGCTCTTAAACATATAAATCATGTATTTCACTCATCTAAAATGTTCTATCAATTCTGACTGCTATATAACACAGAATAAATTAATAACATCTTTGGTATATCTCAGACCCTTCCTATTATCATCTTGGAGGGCAGAGAGGTGAGTAGAAGTAAAGGAGAGAGAAGTAGGAAGAGAGAGAGGGAAGGAGGGAGAAAAAATGAGTTTGGTTTATTTCATTTCATTGACAGGAGATTTTGTAAATTATTGGGGAAAGATATTTAGACAAAATTTAAGCTAAGTGAATTATTTAATAAACAGATGCCAACTGGAAATGCATAATTTATTGCTAATATGCATAAGCTAGTTTAAAGATTCCAGGGTTATTCCTTGTTTGTTAGACTAAAATATTTCCACACATAACTCTGTGTACATTTGAGGAAAAAGTGCAAAAATAGTTGCATTCAATCAATCCATTTTCAATTTAGTTCAGCAATTATTTATACAATGTATATATTTTCTTATGTGTTTTAAGGGGTAGAGAAGTTATTAAATACACAGGAATGTAAAGAAGAAAAATACATAAACACCAAAAATTGTTTCCAGATTAATCTCTTTTTCCAACGCAGAGTACCTGCACACCAGAGTACCTGCTTGCACTGTAAGGGCTACAACTGCCCATCTGACCCACTACTGCTCTTTCTTCTGATCCGTTTTCTCCTTTCCACAGCTGTTTTAAATGTCCAGTTGTCCTCTACTTCTTTCTCAACTTCCTAACTAATCACTTTTCAAGAGCTGACCATTCTTCTTTTTGATGTCTCACATCCCCCCACCCGTTTTGGGGTTTTTTTTCTATTGCAGCTGCTAGCCTTCTATTCAGGTCAGAGGTATCACTTACAGTTTTCTGTACTGATCTCGGCTCAGTTGAATTCAGTAAGCACTTACTGACGACCTAAGCAAGACTGCTTATTGGCCAAAATAAGTTAACTGACAAATAGCAACAATATACATCCACTATGTTTCCACTAAGATTATTTAATTATTAAATTTTGAGTAGAAAGGCCTTTAAAAATAATCCAGCGCATTCCAATAAAGTTTGGTGCAATGATGGAAACCTTCTGTGCATGTGGCTACTGAGCACTTGAAATGCGCCTAATACTACTCATGAACTGAATTTTAATTTTATTTAATTAGTTTTAATTTTAATGTAAATAGCCATATTTATATGTAGCTAATGGCTACTGTAAAATGGATTTTATATATGAGAAAATATACCTACAAAAGTTAAAGTTAGTAGCCCAAGGTCACATAGCTATAAAACTCCTAAAATTAAATCCTCTCTTTTCTTTAAAAACTCATAATCATCCCAACAGCAAATTATAACTTTAAACTATATCCAGTACCTGAAAACTTCTCACCATTTCTACTGTTACCACCCTCCTCCAAGCCACCATCTTCTCTCTCTGCTCTCATCCTTGCATACAAGGATGGCCTACAACACCTTACATGAACTGGCTCCTACTGCCTTTCTGACATCGTCTCACCCATCTCACACTCATTCTCACTATGTTCTAGCCACACTTGTCTCCTTGCTGTTCCTCCAACACTCCAAGCACTTGTAGTGCCCTCTGCCTTAGAGCTCTTAACCCAGGTGTCTGCGTGGTAGGTTTCTCCATTCTTCTCAAATGTCCCTTATCAAAAAGAAATATATAGAGTTGTGTGTCCCCTTAATATCTGTGCACCATTTTGAATGAAAGTTTTGTGAGAGAAATTGGCTAAATCCTACACATACAGAGATGGTAATAGGGTCAACTGAGAAGCATCAAAATGCCAAGGCTATGCCTCAGTTTGAAGTCTCAGTTGATACTATTTATCCCAGAATAAAGGTTAATATAAAAACTGGTCTGGAACCAGTAAAAACACTTAGGTTCTGAAGGGAAAACTTGGAAAATGCCTTGTAAGGGTACTTTGAATTTGAAATTACAAGGTGTAAGGAATCCCCACCACAAAAATAACTCCTGCTGAAGATGAGCTCATAGTCAAAATTTCCAAAAGCACTAAAGGAAAGGAGTTCTGAATGATAATGAGTCAATTTAACGAATGGGAGGATTCATATCCAAGAACCAATGTTAACAGAAAAATGTGTAAGTGACTTTCAGATGTGTCATTCCATTCTGAAACATGTTGGCAAGTCCCAAAGGTGCGGAGCAGTCCAGCAGACTGGAGACTAATGAAAGAATTCATGTTGTAGCTGGAGTTCTAAGGCAGTCTGTAGGCAGAATTTTTCCTTCCTCTGGGAACCTCAGTCTTCTTCTCTTAAGGTCTTTAACAGATCAAATGAGGCCCACCAGCATTATGGAAGGTAATCTGCTTTACTCAAAGTTGGCTGAATAAATGTTAAGCTTATCTAAAAAATACCTTCACAGAAACATCTAGACTCATGTGTGACCACATATCTGAGAACCATGGCCTAGCCAAGTTGACATATAAAATTAACCATCTTAAGCCCCAAAATGTTGGCCTAAATGCAAGGCAGCAGTGCAGGTTGCAGTGTCCTGTGATTTCAGCAATTCTGTTTGAGTGTCTGGCCTTATAAATATTATATTATAATATTTCACCATAAATTTCTATATGCATAGCTAGAGAAGACACAAGACAACTTGTGTTATGAATGTGTGCATTTATTTAGCCTGTAGCAATCATTTCTTTTTGAAAAGTTGTATCATCTAGTTCCGAATTTGTTTGCATGACCATCTCACTCTCTGATTGAAGCAGAGTGGCATTTTAAAAAGAGATTGAAATAAATCATATTTTTATTATTACTAAAATATTTGTATGATTTGCCCTCCTGTTTCCCCCCACCCCTATAAGAAAATAAATCACAGAAAGAGATGACAGTATGTTGTACATTGCCCTGTCTTTTTTCCAACTCTATTTTCATCACCAAAACAATTCACAAACATAATAAACAGCACTTTTCTCTAAGAGAGGCAGAATAGAAATCCTTTAAGACTTCTTTTCGAATTTCTCTTTTAAGGTTTTTATCTTTTGTGTGTGTGAATATTTAGCATCTCATTATTTATATTGTTACTAAGTAGGATATAAATGACCTGGCTCTTCCTATGTGTCAGAGTACCAGTGTTAGTTTTCATATGCCAAAAAGCATTTGCACTTATGCTACATAAAAAAATGAATGCAGGGATTTTTTTATTTTATAATAACCTAAACATACTCAAAGAAGCTATTTTGAACTCCCTCAAGCCAATCAAAGACCTCTATTTAGATGCATAAAATACAAGAGATAAGAGGACATTTTCCTTGTCAAAAATAATTATTCTATTTAATAATATGTTTTCAGCAATGACTACACTAGGCATCATCATACAAGACACTCACAGTAAAAAGTGAAAATGAGAAGTTTGTCTATGCCATCAAGGAGATTTTAGTCAAGTAAACCACCTTTAACAAAGAAAATAAAGAAACTAGAGGTAAGTCCTCAAGATCTAGAAATGGAACTAATCTTGCAGAGAATCTTTTCAGCCCAAGCACTTCTGGCTCAGAAAAATAAAGGTAAGAGAACTTAGGTGGGTTTCATAATTGCTTTGTTCCTGATGCTAGATGCTCAGCTCAAAGCATCCCAGTTGTGTCTGAACATTTGGCTTCCCTAACAAGATATGTACACCACAAAGCCCCCTCCTATAGAAGGAAATTGTCAACTTGCCCAGACACTTTTTCCTGTCCCAGCAGGAATCCTCCTGGTTGAGATAACATGTTTCCTCTGTACCAGGATCTGCATAATCATTATTTAACGTGCACTCCGCATGCCGTCCACTGGATGTTTAGTATCTATGAATGTCCTCCATTCAGATTCTTGCCTACATTTGTCCTCACCTACTTGCCTGGCTTTTAACTCACCTTTACCCCAGTGTTTAATATTTTGGACTTAGTGGCCTATTCTGTCAGCATTGTTTCAGCTGACTGCCCTTTTCCTAAACTATCTGAACTGCTTAAAGGTTTTCCTGGCAAGACACCAAGCCTGGAGTAACAAATCTGGAATGTCTACACTTTCTTTTAGGCAAAGTTTCCAGCCTTGCGGCTAGGCTCTACCAGCATGTTATAGTACAGACACAATGAGTCTGAGTCCAGGTGTCTGATTTGCTAATTAGTTACTATAAAACTATAAGTAAAGTAGTTTTTCTCTTTCTTTTAGGTTATTATTAAAATGAATTGACACATTGCTGGAATATATGGGGAAAGTTCCATGTAATCAATGATTTGTAAATCTAGATGTGTATATATATATATGTATATATATATATACATATATATATATATATATAAAATGAGAGAGAAAAGAGGATAATATTGTATATTGTGTTTCATTATCTTGGATATATTCTAGGTGCCACTTAGTGATACAGCAAAAGATAATATGAGCCCTGATCTTTAGCAACTCATGACTTAAAGGGCATAGTGTGACTTACATGGCATTTGGAGAATTATGATTATTTGCATAGAATATTGAGGCTTATTGAATTTGATGTATTACAGTTACCTCTATCATTGGAAATCCAACCTTTCTTGATAAAATCCTGCTACCCTGATGTTTTGAAAGGTAATTTTTAAAACATGTAATATTTAGCATGAAATCATTTTACTTCCATAGATGAAATAAATTAGGTGGAATAAGTAGAAAGTGGTATGTTTTCTTCTGCTAGAATTCTTGCCTTCAGTAACAAAGAGAAGAGAGCTAACAATAAAGATTTACTAAGAATCAGTTATTCTACTAGGCTCTTTACACACATTAGTGCTTTTAATTCTAATAGGAATCTAATAATCAAAACATAGTAATAAATTTTATACAATGGGTAAAATGTGGCCCAGGATAACTGAACAAATTTCTACAAATAAAATAACTAGTAGATGGAGCAGAGTCAAACTTGAAATCATGTCTATTTGACTTCAAAATCCATACTTTTTAAATTGAATCCTAAGAATAATATCTTCCTAGAACTAGACAATAGGAATTAAAACCCTGGATAATCCTAAAATTACCCTCCATAAATGTAATAAAATTTTATTGGCATTTTTTCCATGATACTCTACTCTGGCTACTCCAGTATACTCATACGGGGATATTATTCGCTTACATATTCTTGATGTATATTTTCTTCATTTTCTGTAAATTTTCCACTGAGTGGGTCTAAGAAGCAAGTCTGCTTAGGCTGTTACTGCGTCCCTCTTGACTTATATTAAAAGATGACACACTCAATACAGTATACTTATTTAATAGAATACGAAAGGACTGTAAAGAGGGATAATTTTTTTTTGAATCACTCATTTACCTTGTTTTTATAGAAATCTAATGATTATCACTAGTCATTTGAATTGTAGATTATTTTATGTTGGAATATTTCTTCATTTCTTTTATTTAAGCCAGTAATATGATGTTTTAAAAATATAAATTGAATAGCATCTGTTTATTATTATTCTGAATTTTATAATTTACCATGTTTATCATAAAATATTGAGGAACTTAGTGTTACTCTCTGGATATAATATCTGATTTTACGAGTATTATAGTGGAAAAAATGCATTAAGCACCTACTTATAGGTGTCGTTGAAGGTTAGGAGATCTCTATTACACTGTGGCTTTGATGTTACATCTATAGTTCTTTTTATTTTTAACACCTTTATTGGAGTATAATTGCTTTACAATGGTGTGTTAGTTTCTGCTTTATAACAAAGTGAATCAGCTATACTTATACATATATCCCCATATCTCCTCCCCCTTGCATCTCCCTCCCACCCTCCCTATCCCACCCCTCTGGGTGGTCGTACAGCACCGAGCTGATCTCCCTGTGCTATGTGGCTGCTTCCAACTAGCTATCTATTTTACATTTGGTGGTGTATATATGTCCATGCCACTCTCTCACTTCGTTCCTGCTTACCCTTCCCCCTCCCCGTATCCTCAGGTCCATTCTCTAGTAGGTCTGCATCTCTATTCCTGTCTTGCCCTTAGGTTCTTCATGACCAATTTTTTTTTTTTGTAGATTCCATATATATGTGTTAGCATATGGTATTTGTTTTTCTCTTTCTGACTTACTTCACTCTGTATGACAGACTCTAGGTCCATCAACCTCACTACAAATAACTCAATTTCATTTCTTTTTATGGTTGAGTAATATTCCATTGTATATATGTGCCACATCTTCTTTATCCATTCATCTGTTGATGGACACTTAGGTTGCTTCCATTTCCTGGCTATTGTAAATAGAGCTGCAATGATCATTGTGGTACATGACTCTTTTTCAATTATGATTTTCTCAGGGTATATGCCCAGTAGTGGGATTGCTGGGTCTTACAGTAGTTCTGTTTTTAGTTTTTTACGAACCTCCATACTGTTCTCCATAGTGGCTGTATAAATTTACATTCCCACCAACAGTGCAAGAGGGTACCCTTTTCTCCACTCCCTCCCCAGCATTTATTATTTGTAGATTTTTTGATGATGGCCATTCTGACTGGTGTGAGATGATATCTCATTGCAGTTTTGATTTGCATTTCTCTAATGATTAATGATGTTGAGCATTCTTGCATGTGTTTGTTGGCAATCTGTATATCTTCTTTGGAGAAATGTCTATTTAGGTCTTCTGCCCGTTTTTGGATTGGCTTGTTTGTTTTTTTGATATTGAGCTGCATGAGCTGCTTGTAAATTTTGGAGATTAATCCTTTGTCAATTGCTTCATTTGAAAATATTTTCTCCCATTCTGAGGGTTGTCTTCTCATCTTGTTTATGGTTTCCTTTACTATGAAAAAGCTTTTAAGTTTCATTAGGTCCCATTTGTTTATTTTTATTTCCATTTCTCTAGGAGGTGGGTCAAAAAGGATCTTGCTGGGATTTATGTCAAAGAGTGTTCTCCCTAGGTTTTCCTCTAAGAGTTTGATAGTGTTTGGCCTTACATTTAGGTCTTTAATCCATTTTGAGTTTATTTTTCTGTATGGTGTTCTAGTTGCATTCTTTTGCAGGTAGCTGTCCAGTTTTCCCAACACCACTTATTGAAGAGGCTGTCTTTCCTCCACTGTATATTCTTGCCTCCTTTATCAAAGATAAGGGGACCATATGTGCGAGGGTTTATCTCTGGGCTTTCTATCCTGTTCCATTGATCTATATTTCTTTTTTTGTGCCAGTACCATACTGTGTTCATTACTGTAGCTTTGTAGTATAGTCTGAAGTCTGGGAGCCTGATTCCTCCAGCTCCGTTTTTCATTCTCAAGTTTGCTTTGGCTCTTCGGGGTCTTTTGTGTTTCCATACAAATTGTAAAGTTTTATAGGAATGCAAGAGATTTCTGTACATTAATTTTGTATCCTGCTACTTTACCAAATTCATTGACTAGCTCTAGTAGTTTTCTTGTAGCATCTTTAGGATTCTCTATGTATAGTATCATGTAATCTGCAAACAGTGACAGCTTTACTTCTTCTTTTCCGATTTGGATTCCTTTTATTTCCTTTTCTTCTCTGATTGCTGTGGCTAAAACTTCCAAAACTATGTTGAATAAGAGTGGTGAGAGTGGGCAACCTTGCCTTGTTCCTGATCTTAGTGGAAATGCTTTCAGGTTTTCACCATTGAGGATGATGTTGGCTGTGGGTTTGTCATATCCCTTTTTGTCTTGATGAGTCTGGCTAATGGTTTATCAACGTTTTTTATCTTCTCAGAGAACCAGCTTTTAGTTTTATTGATATTTGCTATCATTTCCTTAATTTCTTTTTCATTTATTTCTGATCTGATCTTTATGATTTCTTTCCTTCTGCTAACTCTGTGGGTTTTTTGTTCTTCTTTCCCTAATTGCTTTAGGTGTAAGGTTAGGTTGTTTATTTCAGATGTTTCTTGTTTCTTAAGGTAGGATTGTATTGCTATAAACTTCCCTCTTAGAACTGCTTTTGCGGCATCCCATAGGTTTTGGGTCGTTGTGTTTTCATTGTCATTTGTTTCTAGGTATCTTTTGATTTCCTCTTTGATTTCTTCAGTGATTTCTTGGTTATTAAGTAGTGTATTGTTTGGCCTCCATGTGTTTGTGTTTTTTTACAGATTTTTTTCTCTAATTGAGATCTAGTCTCATAGTGTTGTGGTCAGAAAAGATAGTTGATAGAATTTCAATTTTCTGAAATTTACCAAGGCTTGATTTTTTTTTTTTCGGTACGTGGGCCTCTCACTGTTGTGGCCTCTCCCATTGCAGAGCACAGGCTCTGAACACACAGGCTCAGTGGCCATAGCTCACGGGCCCAGCCGCCCCACGGCATGTGGGATATTTCCAGACTGGGTCACGAACCCGGGTCCCCTGCATCGGCAGGCAGACTCTCAACCACTGTGCCACTGGGGAAGCCCCCCAAGGCTTGATTTGTGACCAAAGATACGATCCATCGTGGAGAAAGTTCCATGAGCACTTGAGAAAAATGTGTATTCTGTTGTTTTTGGATGGAATGTCCTATAAATATCAGTTAAGTCCATCTTGTTTAATGTATCATTTAAAGCTTGTGTTTCCTTATTTATTTTCATTTTGGGTGATCTGTCCATTGGTGAAAGTGGGGTGTTAAAATCCCCTACTATGATTGTGTTACTGTTGATTTCCCCTTTTATGGCTGTTAGTATTTGCCTTATGTATTGAGGTGCTCCTATGTTGGGTGCATAAATATTTAGAATTGTTATATTTTCTTCTTGGATTGATCCCTTGATCATTATGTCCTTCTTTGTCTCTTGTAATAGTCTTTGTTTTAAAGTCTATTTTTCCTGATATGAGAATTGCTACTCCAGCTTTCTTTTGATTTCCATTTGCATGGAATATCTTTTTCCATCCCCTCACTTTCAGTCTGTATGTGTCCCTAGGTCTGAAGTGGGTCTCTTGTAGACAGCATATATATGGGTCTTGTTTTTGTATCCATTCAGCCAGTCTATGTCTTTTGGTTGGAGCATTTAATCTATTTACATTTAAGGTAATTATCGATATGTATGTCCCTATTACCATTTTCTTAATTGTTTTGGGTTTGTTATTGTAGGTCTTTTCCTTCTCTTGTGTTTCTTGCCTGGAGAAGTTCCTTTAGCATTTGTTGTAAAGCTGGTTTGATCGTGCTGAATTCTTTTAGCTTTTGGTTGTCTGTAAAGATTTTAATTTCTCCGTTGAATCTGAATGAGATCCTTGCTGGGTAGGGTAATCTTGGTTGTAGGTTTTTCTCCTTCTTCACTTTAAATATGT